GGATAGTAAATGGAAATAACTGAAAAGTATTGCTCAGGACAAGGTTATATATATATATATATATATATATATATATATATATATATATATATATATATATATATATATATATATATATATATAGGAAATGCTGATAGACAGCCTATGTTCATTCATAAATGGTAACAAGTGTAATCATTAGAAGATATTCATAAAATATGTTGCATCATCATTAATGTTTATATCCATATGGTTGAATCAATCTGTCATTTGACCAGTTACTGTTCAATCATCATTAATACTTTATTTATTGTACATATTTCTTGGACATACTGTATATACACGTCACTTTTGATGTATGTAAATAGTATAATGATGGTGAAATATCTAGTTAGTTACTTAGATTATATAATACACAAATTACAATTAAAGGGATAAAATATTAAAAAAAATCAATAATTAATCAATCAATTAACTAATTAATGTCAATCATTTTGAATGATTCTGGTATAAGAAATGAATAAAATTTACTATTTTTATAATATGTCTATAATAAAATTGTAAATACATATGTCAGAAGGGGTTTTGTGGGTATTATAGTAATTTCAATGTTTGAGATCATGAGTCAATTGAAGCGAGATCATCATGGAAAACCTGGAAACACTGGAAGGTCGTTTCATTCTATTGTGAGACTCCTCAGCAATGGGCATTCACAATCCCGCCCCCACCTCGCCAGATTCGAACCCAGGACTTATCAGTCTCGTGCGCGAGCGCTTAAAAACCAGACCACTGAACCGGAATCCAACGATGTTAATGTATAACTTCAAATAATCCACAAAATTCAGCGACACATCTACCATTGTCATCAGTGAGTTACTATCTCACTACAGACCTGGTTGAACTCCACTGGTCACTTCTTCTCACTAGAACTCCAGAATATACATCTTGAAGCCAGTCACCAGTGAGCATTTGTTGACTAGTATCAGAAGGGGTCTGTGGATATTATAGAAATTTCAATGATTGAGATTATGAGTCCTATGTTCAAATCTCGCGGGAGGCGAGATAGTGGGTGCCCACTGCTGAGCAGTCCCATACTAGAAAGAAACGTCTGTCCAGCTTCAACTGACTCATGATCTCAACCATTGAAATACATATGAAATTGCTTATGATGTATTTAACACTAGTCCCAACTATTGTTACTACTTTGACATGGTAGTTGGGTTTGTTCATCGTGACGAATCAATCGAACTATACTGTTGGCTGGAATAATTGTTATTCAAATAATGTAGAAATTCACAGTCTTTTGAAATACCCCTAGGTACTTCCGATGTTTAATATTTAGTTGTATATATGTTTTAATTAGAAATAATGTAAATTTTAGGTTTCAACAGAAGATAATCCACTTTATTGGGTGATATAGTTTAGGAGCGATCTTAATGGTGTAGGTATCTACACTCTTTGTCTTGACTTAAACTATGAGATTAAAATTGTTTTATATCTTACTTTCTACCAACTAATTCTTTCTTCCTATACTATATCCTGGAGATTACAGTAATTTTTAATAACTGAATTCATGAATTGATTAAAGTTAGACTATCATGGATAACCTGGAAGTATTGAACGACTGTTTCATTCTACTGTGGAACTCAGTGGTTGTATACCTCTAGTACTGACTTGTCTATTAAAACTTGAACACAGTAACTGATACTTCAAACTTTAAAAGGGTTAATAACTATTGATTAAGTCATGATGGACACAACAAGAAAAAATAAAAAAAGTTGCTCAATATCTATCATTAATCATTAATTGAAATGTAATGAAAGTGTAGCCACCATCATGTCATCATTTTAAGTGATTTGAAGAATAATTGAGTCTGATGTATGATCTCATAGAGCTATTATTATGTGAGATATTTAACCCATCTAAGTTAACAGTGATAAAGTAATGGATTAATCCAAAGGTTTACTACGATCCTTTATAAAATAATCCAAGTCATATCATAGTAGACATTCAAATTACGTATAGAAACAATTTCAACTTATAGACTAATAATTTAAAGTATTAACTACTATACTAACCGCTTTCCGTCAATCCAATTCTTACAGATGTAATTTTTCATTTAAAGTAGATGTATTCATTGTTTCTGGTTAGCGTATTCTAGTGAGTTAGTTTTCTATGGGATAGGGTCGCCAAACCCATGCCCAACCCACCTCCTTCATTTCGGCTCGGTACTGGTAGCAGCACCAGAGGGGTTCATGGTGGTCGATTGGATCGTGAAGATGTCACCACCTGGGGGAAGCATGGGATATGATGAACAGCTAGGATGCAGCTGTACGATCTCGACTCCATAGATGATCTGGATCTTCTATCGCGCGCACACCAACAAATTCAAGAGAAGACAACCAGTGTAGTAGCAGCCTCAACAGCAGTAGGTCTCAACATACACAAAAGGGGAAGCAAGATTCTCCGATACAACACAACACCCATCAATCAAACCACATTTGAGGGAGAAGCTTTTGAGGATGTAAAATGCTTTACATATCTGAGCAGCATTATTGATGAGCACGGAGGGTCTGATGCAGATATGAAGGTGCGGATCGGCAAATCAAGAGCTCCAACCACCCCAAAATCTAAATTTACGTATTTTTGATGTTGACTTACAAGCACCGAACCATATCAATGTATACTAGAGTGGTTTCACACAACACAAAATGATGTCGGTTAATAACCTTTTAAACTTACACGAGAATTGTTAAGGTTTTCTCTAAGGTGTGTTACTCTGCCTGAAGCCCCCCTGGGGCTACTGCCGGTCCTAAACCCGGACAAAGTAGGAGAGTTGGGCGTGGGGTTAGCGACCCCATTCCGTAGAAAACTAAGTCGCGAAAAACGATAAGTAAGTAATTGTTATTCATCATGAGAACTCTTTCATTATCAGATCATATATACAAGTACTACTGGAGTGTGCTTTAAATAAATTTAATCATTCAGTTCGTATATTTAGCCTTCTAATGTTAAGCAACGTAATGAGTTAAAGAAAATGAACAAAGTTAGTAGAAGATCTTTTAAACAAAGAGTCAAAGTAAGCCTATAAAATCTCTCAGCTAGACTGATTTACACTCCAGAATTCCATCAATTTACAATAGGGTACGGCTCTTATTCAACCTTATCAGTGATGATGTATTTGAAATCAATGACATATTACTTCAAATCCTATCATCTCTGTAGTAAGCTAACATTAATGACCGAGATTTTAAGAGCATTTTTATTATTAAGTGGTGTCAGAAACAGAAATATTCAAGACATATATGTTTGTAATAGGTGTCCAGTGTAAACAAAGTTGTTCATCAGTGTTTCTTCACTTTCGACAGTTTTGCAGCCAAAGTTAGTTTTTAATAAAAACTCTTTTTGTTATCACCAAGCTTATGTTTATTTAAATGTTTGCTTTCAACTGATTTCATTACATATACCCCTATAGAAACTGGTTGCTTTAGTTCTTTGTAGACTCCTTATTTTTCTGAACAACTTCATCTTGGTACAGGGCTGTAGTGAATTCGGTTAACAGTATTGATAGTATTAGATTCTGTACTGAAAATCTTTACAAGAAAACCGGAAGAAATCCATTGGTTAAATTTCGGGATATCAGTTTGATTAAGGTAATGACATAGACTATACATCATTGTTATGTTTATTAGTATTAACCTGGGTGTTCCATAATAGATTTATTGGACTAAAGAATCATTTTACGAGTACTTTAATAGCACAGAAGATCCTGACTATTTTGAGGCTATAGTTTAATCAGATGATGTGTTGTAGCATGGTATAGTTTAGTCTATTCAAAAATGAATTCGGTCAACAAATACATACTGCACAGGTGGATGATTTTGGTGGAGTTTTGTTCTCTGAGCTGGATGGTTTTGGTCGTGGAGCTTTCATCGTTCTTTTGAACGACATTATCAGCACAAACTTCAGATAGAAACCATCTAGCTCAGAGAACAAAACTCCACCAAAAACATACTGCACACTCATGGATTAGAGAAAAGACCCAACTTTATTTGTCCATTTTGATAAAACATTACACTTCTTGCAATGGTTATTAATACTAATAACAATAGATGTACCCTTCTAAAGAAGATTAACAAGATATTGAATCTATAAACGACCATCGTTTGCTCAATTCGATCCTGATGGTTCAAATATCGGCCCTATCGCACAGTACAGCTCTGTAATTTTACTAACAATGTAATTCATCTAGCTTTTCTATATACCGTATGGAGATAAAGAGCTCATCTCGTATCTTTATATGTAAAACTGCCTCTTGTGACAACTAAAAATTTTTATCAGTATGAAGTTGTGGAAATTATTAAGTTTTTGAATGAGATTATTAAGAATCGATTGATGTTAGACCACCATTGAAAACGTGGAAGCACTGGATGGCCGTTTCATCCTATTGTGGCACTCCTCAGCAGTACGCATCCAAGATCACGATCGCGGGGTTCGAACCCAGGAATACTCCGTCCCATGCGTGAACGGTTAACCTCTAGACCACTGAGCCAGTATCCAACGGTGCTAATGTCTAACACCAACCAATCCACGAAATTGTACGACCATCTTCCATTGTACTGAAGTAGATACCTATCTTTACCCAACAACGATTAGCTCCATTGGTCACGGATACTCACAAGAACTCCAAGAATTTACTCACGGAGTCTCCATAACCCCATACTAATAATTACCATACGCTCACTAATGAATAGCTTTGTGCATTGCTGTGAAATTCAACAATAGGACGAAACGGCCGTCCAGTGCTTCCATGTTTTCAATGGTGGTCTAACATCAATCGGTCCATGATCTCACATAGATCCACGTAGAAAATTCATGATCAACATCTTAAAAAAACGAGAAACATTTTCAACTTAACCAAAGATCAAATTCAATAGCATTCTTTATATGTTCTAGTGAAAATCGCTAAGAAACAAAGAAGAAAATGGTTGTGTTTTTTTTAATATTTATGAATCACTTACTTCGGTATCATCAGGTGAATCTTGTAAAGAATCTCCAACCTCGCCATTTAATATGTCATGTTTTTTTGAGCATTCATTACTTTGAATCAAATTATTCTCATTATTATTCATGATAGAATGACTTCTTGGTCCAACCATTTCATATGCTCTACTCAACATTGATAAAAGTGTAACAGTTGAATTTACAGTATTGGAATTTGTTCTATTTGTATGATTTAATTGTATATTAGAACCTGAGTAACGTTTACCATGAATAGATGAAAAATTTGGTGAGATACTATTACGTTTATGAAGAAAACTATGTAAAGGTAATAGATTTTTATTAATATTACCATCATTATAACAATTGGCTAATCCACCATGTTCATTTAATTGACAACGTGCTTTAGATGATAAACGACCTCGACGACCTTTAAGACTATCCCGACGAACGACTAATGAAATGAAGAAAAACAAATAATTAAAGTGAATTTTTATAGTGGGACATTTTTAATAAAAATATCATGTCGATTTCTTACAAGTGTTTATTAACAGTTGTCTACACAAAATACTTCAGATCCATTGGTCAGACACTATCAGCCACAACCTACTGTGAGAGGAAAGAAAGCAGATTCGAGCGATGGAAGAAATCAGGGAGAAGTGATGGAAGTGGATAGGACACACATTGAGTAAAGTAACCAACTACGTCACAATGCGAACCCTCAATGTGAAAGGAGGAGAAGTGGAAGATGAAAGAATACATTACATGGAGAAATAGAGACGAATATGAGAATAATGAAGAACAATTGGGTAGAAGTAGGAAGGAAGGGAGAGTGAGACAGAGTGTGTTGGAGAATGCTGTTTGGTGGCCTATGCTCAATTGAGAGTAACAGGCGTAAGCAAGTAGGTAAGTAATGTAAATTTCTGAGTGAACTAAAAGAAATTATTATTAGTGATCAGTTTAAATAAAAAAAATCACTAATAATTTAGAAGAACTGTAAACTATATAGTTTCCTTAACAATCCACGACTGGAATCGTTCTGGGATCAAATTTAAGAACTATAATTATTTCAACAACAATCATGTATTCACCACTGACTAGGATTTAGGAAATTCTCGGACTGTATATTAGTGAACTTCATGGGATTTTCGATTGAGAACAGCTAGTATTGATGCAATGTTCTACAAACAAATGTTTCTTAGTTGTTCATCCTGACAACCATATTCTGATTAGAAAAAGCTATCAGTTAAATTCCATTCGTTATGAATTATTTATATTGTTCACTTCTTATTGTTTGTTTGAATCTTTCGATTGTTAATTAGGACTGTGATTGATCAGTCTGTTATTGGCATATGTCCATAGGGATGGTGAAGAAGATTTGTAGTTTAAATTGATGATATTTATAGAGTTTTGTTCTCTGAGTTGAATGGTATGGTCGTGGAGCTTTCATCGTTCTTCTGAACGACATCATCAGTACAAACTTCAGGTAAAAGTGAAGTGATCGAATTTCTTCATATATGGAGAACATAATATAAATCTTGCATATAAGAATAAGAATAATAATGAAATAATTACGAAGAACCTAATTAATAATAATTAGTTCATATTGTATGATCAATTTGTTACACCCCTTGGAGTAATGTTTTCGAAAACAAATCGTTAAAGACGTTTTCCTTATGCAATAGTAAAACAGTCTATAAGTGTCACTCCTTTCAAGTTAGACACATCTATTGAGTAACTGTTAGGGATGCTGAGGAATAATGTGCCCATCATTATCATGTTAAGTCTAATGATGTCCTTGGACTTTAAATCTACATTCCCTATTGGCCATTATTTATTTCACTCGTTAAATATTGTACAGATGTTGTTTTCTATTTTATGGTACGTTGTGGTATGCTTGACTGGTATATAAACAAAGTATGTTTGAAATATAACGATTCATATCTCAGAGGCTGTGACTTGTGTTCTGGACTCAACTGGCTGGGCTAGACAGGGAAGCGACCCCAATGAGAACTCTAGGCCGTTCATCACGTGTTTACGTGTTACTGCAATCGATCGATAAAACGCTGCTCCATCCATAATCTGCAACCCACCCGTCACAACAGTAACAAGTTTCAACTCATATATGAGTATATACCAACATGGCTTAACAAAGACAACATAAATGTCAGATTTTCATCGAACTTTTGTAATCATGCCAATAACCAAAAAGAACTTGTCACTTTACCATAAGCAAACATAAAACTTTTGCTAGAACAACAGACTTATAATAATTTCATTTAACAATATTGTAAAGATAAGGATTATGTACGATTGAAAGTAACTGTACGTTTTAAAACTAAAGATATATAATTCACTTGGTATTGTTTTACTTGAATCTTCCCATTGAACAAGCAAGTGGCTATCAGGACTCAGTGTCTAAGTGGATAACGCGATGGCGTTTGAAGTGAACGGTACTGAGTTCGAGTACCAGAGTGAATATCAACTCTGAGATGCAGGTACATCCAGCTGATGAGTCCCGAACAGGACGAAACGCGCGTCCTGGATTCCATTGCTAGCCACTATCCATCCTTGCTTATAAAGATATGTAATTATTATTCGCCCATGATAAGATACTTCTATTCCTCAACGAGACCATAACTTATAGACAAACCAATCAGATTTAGAATTTCAGCATGAAATTCATTCATCCATTTGCTGAATAGCATTTTGGCACTTTAAGTGATATCATTTCATGATGAAAACCTTAAATCTAATTCTTAACCTTAACTATCAACTGTAAATCATAATCTTGATCCTTCACACAAGTTTATAACCGTCATTTAACTCTAATAAGTAAGTGAACATTCTTAAGATCATTTTATATTCACTCAAAGTTTACTCAGAAATTATAGTCTCATCCCTCCCCTCTCGTCTACTATATCAAACAAATAATAATCAATAAAATATTTTGGTGGAGTTTTGTTCTCTCAGCTGGATGGTTTGGTCGTGGAGCTTTCATTGTTCATCTGAACGACATCATCAGCACAAACTTCTCCACCATCTCAAAATCAATAAAATAATTTAAAATTACTAATCTTAGCAACTGTAATAAATTTTTTTCTCTTTATTTCCTAAAAATGTTTCAGTTATGTGAAATTTTTATAAAGTTGTAACTATGACAACAATAACAACAACAAGGAGAAATGAAAGTATCATTAACCACTTTGAAAATACGACATGATTGTTTTCCATTTAAACAACAACAACAAGAAGAAAAAGAGAATTGCTTATCTTGTACTACTAAATAAATTATACGATTATGTCATTGTCGGAACACAATATCATCATGATACAAAACAGTATAGAAAGTTTTCTCGAATTTAACACAGATACACACATACACACATATATATATACACATACGAATACATTTACATGGTAAGCTTCTTTTAGATTAGTCTGTATTATATTTCCCTTTTAAGTTCCATTTATTTTCTGTTACAAACATTCTCCACTTATTTTATTTTCTCTTACCGTTTTGCTTTGATTACAATGAAGTAGAAAAATAAGAGAAAAAACAAAAAAAGAGAAAAAACAAAAAAAAGGAAAAAAAAATTATCCCATTTATTTATATTCGTAAAATTACAAGATAAAGTAGAGATAAATAGATAGATGAAGGTGAATTTCCTTTTTTCATTATTCAATAGTGTCTTCTTTTTACCATTCAGCATAAATAATTCATACAAATGTAGGCGAAAGAAAAATATATGAAGAAAATAAATCACTTTCAGTCTGGTATGCAATCACCATCATTATCATCATCAGCACCATCATCATCGTAACCATTAGGAACATCGTCATCATCATCATCATCGTCATCGTCATCATCTTAAACATTGATATTTCTTATTTGTAAGCAGAAAACCAAATGGATATTAATATTAGTTAAATGAAAGACATAGTAACTAAAGAAAATGATCGAATAGGTTAATTAGTTTGTAAATTGAAAAAGAAACACACATACACACACACACACAAAACAAAACAGTATTATATATATATATATATATATGAAGAGAAAAAAAGAAGAAAAAAAAGAAAAAAAAGTGGAAAACGTTGAGAGGAAAAAAAAGAAAAAAAGAAAAGAAAAAGAAAAAGAGAAACGTCAGAATTTATTCTTTTATCATGTATACCTATTTATGTTACTTAAAAAATTTGATGTATTTTCTTATTTCTATAAAGAAAACTGAATACAATTTTACTTTTAAAGTAACTATGTATTTTCTTTTTCTTAATCTTCTTCTACATGTATGTTCATATTATGTAGGACTAGTCATTTGACTATATTGTTATGCTAGTAATATACTAGTACTTTAGTGTGTGTGTGTGTTTGTATGTATGCGTTTGTGTGTATATGTGTATCTATGCATGTGTAGGTGGGTGGGTGTGATTTTGTGCTTATTCATAAAAGTCAAAATTAGCACTCGTTTTAATAAACTATGGTAAATTGAAACCTTAAAAATGGACTCGTCTATAAAGAGGATTTAGGTTATTGCACAGTTTCCTCTTTTTCTTTTTGTCTTTTTTTTCTTGGATAAGGTATGGAAAATTGAAGTTTTTGTTTTAACAGAATTTATTATTATTCTTAATTAACATAATTAAATTTTCTTTTTGTTACTAAAAAAGTGACATAAATATTACAGTTTATATTTCGTTGAAACGACGATATATAGTTTACTATAAAAGCTCACAAATACTCTGGTACGGCCGAGATTGGGGAGAGAGTCAGCTCTCCCTCTTCAAATTCTCTCAAATGGCCACGCGTATATAACCTCTGCCAGGGAAGTTCTACTCACTGTCTTCTTGCACCACGGGTGTTGTTCATGAAATTGGGAAGATGAAAAGCGAATGTCAAGAGCTTTAACAGGATTGACGGACACGGAGAGTTCATCTAGAAGAGTTGGAAAATACTGATCCTAAACCAATGATGCACATTGGCTCCAGTATCCTGAGGGAATGAATGGCGTATGAACCAATCATTGGTCACTGGCTGCCATTGGACGGCATCTCCTTACCATGATCCACTGCCTTGTGGACCAGGCCTTTAGGTGGAAGGCTCCGGGTGTGGTCCCCTTAGCGAACTACCTGGCTCGGTTTGGGCACCCGGGCACTAGCACTGCCCTCACACAAATCAGATGAGATTTGTGTGGCGCATATGTATCTGGTGCCTCTTCGTACCAGTATTTATGTGTCCAAATAAATAAATAAACAAATTATTCATTATAAACTGATACATACCATAGAGAATTATTTGAAATCAGTGAATTAATAGATATAAGAGTTGTTAGTGAATATCGTCGATTAGTTGAAGTTGGACATTAACACCGTCGAATGTCAGCCGGATCAATGGTCTAATGGTTAGGCGTTCGAGCGTGCGACAGGTTTGTCCTGAGTTCGAATCTTATGAGGTGGGATCATGAATGTGCACTGTTGAGAAACCCCACAATAGAACGGAACGGCTGTCCACTATTTCTAGGTTTTCCATGATGGTCTATCTTTAATTAACTCATGATCTCAACTATCAAAATTACAGTAATATCCAAAAAATCCCTTCTGATATTAAAAGATATCTGTTTTAGTACTCTATTAGAATATTCCATCAAAAAAAGCCCATAATATTGTACTTTGAAACTTTCAATCTTGTAACCAGTGAGATAACTTCACGTAATTCGGTATGAACTGAAAGTTTTCAATTATATCTAAAAATCGATCTAGCAAGTCTCAATTTAATTTCGTTTATATGGTTTGTATCTATAAACTAGGATATTAATGAGTAAATTATGATACATAAATGATTCCATTAGATATTGTTGAAAAGTTTGAAAAAAAAGTGGAAAATATTATGAAAAGTCTTCAACAGTATTTTGTTAAACAAAATGGAAGACTCCGTAGATGCCTTACTTCGAGACCAACAGGCTGGATTCCATAAAGATCGATCATGTACCAACCAAATCGCAACATTACGGATCATTGTGGAACAATCAATTGAATGGAATTCACCACTTTACATCAACTTCGTTGAGTTTTAGAAAGCATTCGACAGCATGAACAAGACCGCATTATGGAGGCTTCCTCGACACTACGGCGTGCGTGAGAAGATAGTCAAAATCGTACGGAATTCCTATGGTGGATCAAAATACATGGAGAACAGCAAACAGACTCGTTCGAAATAAAGACCGGTGTCAGGCAAGGCTGCTTACCCTTAACGTTTCAGTTTCTCTTTGTCATCGGCTGCATCATGAAGATGTTATCATCTGGGGGGAAGCATGGGATATAGTGAACAGCTAGAATGCAGTTGTACGATCTCGACTCTACAGATGATCTGTATCTTCTATCGCACGCACATCAACAAATTCAAGAGAAGACAACCAGTGTAGTGGCAGCCTCAACAGCAGTAGGTCTCAACATACACAAAAGGAAAAGCGAGATTCTCCGATACAACACAACACCCATCAATCAAACCACATTTGAGGGAGAAGCTTTGGGGGATGTAAAATGCTTTACATATTTGAGCAGCATTACTGATGAGCACGGTGGATCTGATGCAGATATGAAGCCGCGGATCGGCAAAGCAAGACTAGCATACCTACAATTCAACAACATCTTGAACTCAAAACAAATGTCCACAATCCAACACCAAAGTCAGAATTTTCAATACAACTGTCAAGACAGTTCTGCTGTATGAAGTGGAAACTTGGAGAACTACGAAATTCATCATCCAGAAGAAACAAGTGTTTGTTAACAATTGTCTTCACAAAATACTTCTGATTCATTGATCGGACACCATAAGCAACAACCCACTGTGAGAGGAAAGAAAGCAGGTTCGCACGATGGAAGAAATCACGGGGAAGTGATGGATGTAGATAGGACACACATTGAGGAAAGCAACCAACTACGTTACAATGCAAACCCTCACTTGGAATTCTCAATGTGAAAGGAGGAGAAGTGAAAGATGAAAGATTACATTACATGGAGAAATAGAGACCAATATGAGAATAAGGAAGAACAATTGGATAGAAGTAGGAAGGAAGGCAGAGTGAGACAGAGTTTGTTGTAGAATGCTGTTCAGTGGCCTATGCTCCATTGGGAGTAACAATCGTAAGTAAGTTAGTGATTATGAAATGCCGAATATTAAGCATATTTAACTGATCGATGATATTTAGTAATGTTAAGTGTTTAGTAAAGAAAGTGAATACTGATCAAAATGGGATTATGTAACATATTGCTTCTTTGTAATCAACAAATTTGTGTGCTAAACTACACTTACAATAATCAGCACAACTCAATTTTCAATCCATTAGTGATATAATTGCCATGAAATCAAAAGATAAATGGTAATAATAACACATATTGCTTACAAATTTCATAATCAATATCCATTAAATTTGATTAAACTAACCTTCTTTAACCATTCCAACTTTTAAACACTTTTGAAATCGACAATATTGGCAACGATTACGTCGACGTTTATCGACTACACAATTTTTAGCTTGAAGACATACATATTGTGCATTTTTTTGAATTGTCCGCTAAACAAACAAAAAAAACAAAAAAAATAATGTTACTCATACGCTTATCTACAAGCTTGTCAAGGTATGACATTGGTCCAAAGTAATAGCTTATAATCACCTTTCAATTTATAAGACTCCACATGTAGGTCTTCTAGAGTTACTGCCGGTCTAAATCCTGGATAAAGAAAGAGGGTTGGGTATAGTGTAGTAACAACCTCATCCTGTAGAAAACTAACTCGCTAGAAAAAAAAACGCTAAGTATTTCAACAAATTCCCTTTTCTCATTTCTTGATCGATCTTTGCGATAAATATTGAGTGATCGCCAGCTAGAAATTAGCAGTCCAGTAAATCGACATCGAAACAGTGTATATTCATTTTCGATGCACATTACAAGTAACCATTATGTCTCTGATTAAGCTGTTCTATAAGTTGTACAACGAAAAGTTGTGAACTATTCATGAACTCAACTGAATAGGTTATAAGACTAATAGACATAATGATGTATTAGAATAAACAAGAAAATAGAGAACTTGTTGAAATATCTATATGATAAGAATAGATAGCTCAGATAGTCAAGTAGATCACCTAGTTACTACCTTTCAAGTTAATAATCTATATGAACATTGAATCACAAGAGCTCTTCTCGATCCCATTCTCAAAGTGTTAACATTAAATCAATCTATATGTTATTGTAAAACTATCTCAAACAAATGACAAATGGATGCCAAACATTTCTCTCAAGAATATAAATCATTATATAAATAGAACTATACATTAGTAACGATCATATACCAGTCAACGTTTTGACCTTATAGCTCTAACATCATCATCAAATAGAAATGATGAATGAATTAAACAAGAATTCACTTTGTATTCATCTATCTATTTACATCAGTATACATATATACATAGATATATAGACAAGTCGAACTATATAGTCATGGCATCAATTCATCTGAAAGGGTCAAAATTGGCCTATCTATTTACATGGATAAGATACGTTCTACTAGTCAATATATATATATATATTATATATCTATATGTATATATAGAAGAAAGATAAACAATTCTAGATGATTCTAATAACAAATATACAAATTAAGAAAAGGATACGATAGAGAAAAGAAATATATTTCAACGAGAAAAACAGTAAAAAGAATATTCCATATAGATGAAAGTGTTTGTAACTACTACTATTACCACCACTACTATTGATAATCATCATCATCATTATAATAATAATGATAAAGTATTTGTTGCTCGTTTGTTTCCTTTTAAGTACATACATCTATGAAGAAAGAGATAGAGATAGAGAGAGTTATCTATCATTTTGTTTTGTTTTATATTATCATATAGCGGCATAAATTTGTTATTCCAATGGTATGTAGTTCATATTAATACAAGGTGTAATCACAGTAGGTGAAAGTGTAAAATAAAAAAGTAAAAGAAAAAAAGAAAACAAAAATCTTTACAGGTGAATAGTGTTACAAAAAGAAAAAAATGTAGAGAAAATAATCAAAAAAAAGAAAAGAGGCTACACATTCCATTTTTATTTATATAAATAAAAATAGGCTTATTTATTCTTGCATGAAATAGGCTGAATAAATTTATATGTGCGTACGTGCGTGCGTGCGTGCGTCAGTGAGTGAGTGCGTTTGTGTGTGTGTGTGTGTTAGTGTGTACGTGTACATAGATGGTAAAACGTCTTACTGTTTCCTTTCTTTTCTTTTCTTTTTTTCTTTTCTTTTTTCATCTTTCTCTTTTGGTTAATTAAGACAATGTAGAGGCTTTAAATCATTTGAGGTGATAAAATCTTCAGAAATAAGCACACACGCACACACATATACACAAAAATGATCAATGACCCTTTTGAATACACATATGATTAGTTGAAATGAAGTAAGAAATTTCATAACTGTATGTTATTACTAAGTGGTATAACATACAGATTACATGAGTGTACTTTTGTACTACAGTACAATTTACAACTAACTGATTATCATTAAATATGATTCTATCTTTTGGGGTAATATTAGTATTTTAATAATTGAATTTATGAGTCAGTTGAAGCTAAACCATCATGAAAAACCTGGATGCACTGAAGGGCGTTTCGTCCTAGCATGAAACTCCTGAGCAGTGCCTATCCACGGTCCCGCCTTGTGAGATCTGAACCTAAGATCTATCGGTCTTGCACACGAACGCTTGATCTCTAGACCACTGATCCGGCCAGCATCCAACGGTATTATTGTCTAGCTTCAACCAATCTACGAAATTGCGTCACTGTTCATCATTATTTTCAGTGGTTTGAATGTCGTAAGGCGGGATCGTGGATGAGCACTGCCGGATAGTCCCATACTAGAACGAAACCGCCGTTAAGTAGTTCTACATATTCCATGGTAATCTAGCGTTAATTGACTCATGAATTCAACTATTAAATTACTATAATATCCACAAAAACCCTATTCGATTATAACATTAGTATACAAAACTTTTGATATCCCAAGGTTAGGTGAACGATGAAATGGGTTAATAATTCAAAGAGGGTATCATTTCCTTAGAAATTTAAAGTACGTTTAACTTAATAAGTACAAACTCGTATGAAACCCAGGTTATATCAAAATATAGGAAATACTACGTTGAATTACTTGACCGAAGGCCACATTCTGAATAGTTCGACAGAATTCGATCAGCACTAAGGATTATAATAATATGATATTGGTCGCTGCTCAGTGATTAGTCAACGTAAGTTAAGGATGAACTACACTTAGAAGTATTCAATCATTAAAAGTCTGGTGGTTTGGTTATTCATGTTATTCTCTTATCACTAATCACATTCATATTTAACTGACATTCAGAGGTGAAATGAATAGTATTATTACGATTCGATGATCTTAGTCAGCTATTACTAATACAATTCATGAGGCTAACTTCATCGTAATTTCAAAAACGTCAAACACCATTTTATTACTTGTATTGTACCTAACTGTGTAGATGTATTATCCTTGAAACACAAGTTCAAATCTTATTTGGAAGTATTCAACAGGAAATATTTGGATGGACAGAAAATTTAATTGTACTAAGATGACCTGACTATCCAATCGAAACTACACATTACCAGGATAGATAGTTTGATCAATTATCTTTCTATCTCACTTATGCTCATATACCTATTTATCTATCAAGACATTTTTTTAATTCTTCAGTGTAAACAACTTAGGAAGTTAACATTTGATCATACTGTTCGCAATATAATTCCTTATTATATCTGAACAATTATGTTAAAGTTGGAGTTACATACGATTGGATCACAGCTCAGTGGTCTAAAGATTCAGCGTTCATGTGTGAAACTAAAAATCATGGGTTCAATCCCCAGTGGCGGTGTTGCAGGTGTGCAATTCTAAGGAATCCTATACGAGGACGAAACGATCGTCCAATGTTCAGGTTCCTATTGTTTATCTAACTTAGATTAATTCATATCTACGCAACAAATTGATTGTTATTGGCTTATAATATCAAAATCAGCAAAAAAACTGCCTATTACAACTTTATTTACTAAAAACAAAAAAAGAACACATTGTAAAGACCATCTAAACTGACATCATATCTACAATTAATCATTAATCAAGCTTGATAACTAAGAAGTATCACTCTTCAGTACATCTTAATGTTCACTGGTGATTAAAAGGATACTAGTACATTATAAAATTAACAAATAACTCAATAATTATGATCAGAATGAGATTTGTGAAGATTATAGTAATTTCAATAGTTGGATTCATGAGTCGATGTAAGCTAGACCATCATGGAAAACCTAGCACCAAGATGATTTCCTGGAGTTCTAGTAAAAAGCTGTGACCAGTGAAGTCGAATTCATATCAGGTAGAGATAGGTATCTACCCCAGACAATGAATGAATAGTTGCAAAGTCATTCATGGATAAATTGAAATTAGACATGAACACCATTGGATGTCTACTCACTGGTCTAGTGGTTTAGTCCTCGTGCGAGACTGATAGATCCTGTGTTTGAATCTCGCGAGGCGTGATTGTGGATGCACACTGCTAAGAAGTCCTACAATAGGACAAAACAGCCGTCCACTGCTGTCAGGTTTTCCATGGTGATCTAAATTCACTGGACACATGATCTCAACCATTACAAATATATATTTCATTGGATTTCTCCCTTTTTCTTTTTGAAAACATGACCCTTTTTCCTATGTTTACTTACCATAGGAAGTTTCTGAATTTTTCGTGAAATCAGAGTAAATCATATACATGTACATATAATTCTATAAATTGTTTTCCTATTTCTATGAATAGGGAAATTTCCATTTGACCAAATGAAAATAAATCTTGATTTTTTTTCAAAGAAAACATCCAAAGGTGGGAGGGGGATGGTGTTGATGGTGGTCGAAAAGTAAGAAGATAAAACTAATGGTGTTAACTTTATGAAACTATTCTCATTCATTTTAGTGCATTTCTTCTTCTTCTTCTTCTTCTTCTTCTTCTTCTTCTTCTTCTCCTTCTTGTTCTTCTTCTTCTTACATAATTTATCCTTTAAATCTTTTGTTGATTTTCCCATGTTTACAATAAAGAATAAAATTTATTTGTTTAAATTGATTATTACAATATTTCCATATTGTATTTTGAATATTCTATCTATTATTACTACTGTTACTATTATTATTATTATGATTACTGCTACTACTATTATTCATTTTAGTTAGTAGTATATAATCAACATTAAATTTTTGTTCTCTTCTATTTATTTCATCTTTTTTTGAAAAAAAGAAATTTCTTTTTCTAGAAAGAGAAATATATGTTTATGTTGATCTGACAAAACATTATGAATGGTGCAGTTATACATGTATATCATCTTATGTGTGTGTGCGTGTGTGTGTATGTATGTGTGTATGGATAGATACAATGAATAATTGAATGGATAATCAAAAGGTAAAATGTGAATGAAAGTAATTGAGAGGTTGAAGAACTATAATACAACTTTTTTATATTAAGGTCAGTTAAAGTATTTATGTAGTGGACTTGAATTTATTCATCATGAATAATTTACAGTTGATTGATCCTACTACTACTACTTCTGTGGTGCGTGCTACTTATATTAATATAAGTAGTATATGACGCGAGTCACTACTACTACTACTACTACTACTACTACTACTACTACTACTACTACTACTACTACTGACGATGATGCTGATGACGGTGCAGGTTAGAGGGGTCAATAAATAATGTTGATAATAATTCATTTTGTATTGTTTGATTGAATCTTATTATTAATGTTTAGAACTGAATTTGAAAAGTCTCTTATTGGTTAGAAGCATTAAAAGCAAAGATAGATTATATCTAGTAGTGGAATCCAGGAACTGAGTTTTGTTTTATTTAGGACTAATCAGTTGGATGTACTTGCTTAGAGTCCAAGAGTAAGCATCAACTCAAGGTTGCAGATACATCCATCTAATGAGTTCAAAATGGGACTAAACGCGCGTCCTGGATTCCACTGCTAGTCGCCATCTAACTTTGCTCATAGTGCTAATAATGTCTTCGTAATAAAATACAAATAAATTATGTTTTTCATCTGCTACTTCCTTATGTCAATTGACTGACCTATGAATAACTCAAAGTTTGCATTGTATACACACTTACTTACTTACTTACTTACACCTGTTACTCCTCGTGAAGGAGCATAGGTCGCTCACCAGCATTCTCCATCCAACCCTGTCCTGGGCAATCCTTTCCAGCTCCTTCCAGTTGTAATTCATCCTTTTCATATCTGCTTCGATTATCCGACGTAATGTGTTCTTTGGCCTTCCTCTTTTCCGCTTCCCTTCAGGATTCCAAGTTAGAGCTTGCCTCGTGATGCAGTTTGACGATTTGCGTAATGTATGTCCTATCCATTTCCATCGTCTTTTCATAATTTCCTCTTCAGCTGGAAGCTGGTTTGTTCTCTCCCAGAGAAGGCTGTTGCTGATGGTATCCGGTCAATGGATGTTGAGTATCTTGCGAAGACAACCATTTATAAATACTTTTACTTTCTTGATTGTGGTTGTTGTAGTTCTCCAAGTTTCAGCTCCGTACAGTAGAATTGTCTTGACGTTCGTATTGAAGATTCTCACTTTGATATTGGTTGAAAGTTGTTTTGAATTCCATATGTTCTTCAATTGTAGGAATGCGGCCCTTGCTTTGCCAATCCTCGCCTTTACGTCTGCATCTGAACCTCCTTGTCTATCGACGATGCTTCCCAGATATGTGAAGGATTCTACATCTTCCAGAGTTTCGCCATCAAGGGTGATTGGATTGCTGTTCTCCGCTTTGAATGTGAGGACCTTGGTTTTCCCTTTGTGTATACTGAGGCCTACTGATGCAGAGACTGCTGCTACACTGACTGTCTTTATCTGCATTTGTTCATGTGTATGCGATAGGAGCACTAGGTCATCTGCGAAGTCCAGATCGTCTAATTGGTTCTGAGCTGTTCATTCCATGCCATATTTTCACTCAGATGTCGAGGTATTCATAATCCAGTCGACCACCAGAAGAATGAGGAAGGTAGAGAGTGAACAGTCTTGTCTGACTCCGGTCCTTACTTGGAATGCATCTGTCAGCTGTCCTCCATGCACGACTTTGCACTGTAGTCCGTCGTATGAGTTCCGGATAATATTGACAATCTTCTCAGGAACTTCGTAGTGTCGAAGAAGTTTCCATAATGTCCTCCTATCTACACTGTCGAATGCCTTTTCATAATCAATGAAGTTGATGTATAGTGACGAGTTCCACTCAACTGATTGTTCGACGATGATCCGTAGTGTTGCAATTTGGTCTATGCACGACCGATCCTTACGGAATCCAGCTTGTTGATCTCGAAGTTGCGCATCTACTGCATCCTTCATCCGGTTCAGCAACACTCTGTTGAAGACTTTCCCTGGTATTGACAGTAGTGTAATGCCTCTGTAGTTTTCACATTTGCTCAGATCTCCTTTCTTTGGAATCTTGATGAGGTGTCCTTCTTTCCAGTCCATTGGCACTTGTTCCTCCTCCCAAATCTTTTTAAATAGAGAGTAAAGCATGCTTGTGGTTACTTCGACGTCTGATTTCAGTGCTTCAGCTGGTATGTTGCCGAGTCCTGCTGCTTCCCCGTTCTTGATTTGTCTGACGGCCATTCTAATTTCTTCCGTCGTTGGTGGGTTGACATCTATAGGAAGATCTGTGTGTGCTGCTTCGATGTTCGGTGGATTCATTGGAGCCGGCCTATTCAGGAGTTCCTCGAAGTATTCTACCCATCTGTTTCGCTGTTGTTGAATTTCAGTGATTGGCTTGCCTTCTTTGTCTTTGACCGGCCTCTCTGGTTTACTGTATTTCCCTGATAGTTTCTTCGTTGTATCGTAGAGCAGTTTCATATTTCCTTCTCTAGCAGCTTTTTCTGCCGTCGTTGCTAATTCTTCCACGTATTTCTTCCTGTCGGCTCCAATGCTCCTCTTCACTTGCTTGTTTGCTTCTATGTATTCAGCTTGTGCTTGGACTTTCTCTGCTCGTGTTCGGCTGTTGTTAATTGCTGTCTTCTTGTTCTTCCTTTCTTTGATCTTGTCCAGTGTTTCTATAGAGATCCATTCCTTATGATGGTGTTTCTTTAGGCCCAGAACCTCTTGACACGTTGAAGTCAATGTTTCTTTGATGCCTTTCCAGTTGTCCTCCATGGTAGTTTCTTCTTCCTTCAGTAGATCCTGTAAAGCTTGGAACCTGTTGTTGAGAGCTATCTTGAATTCATTGAGTTTGTCAGTATATCGAAGGAAGGCTGTATTGAACCTTTGTAGTGCTGTTTGTCCACTTGTCCAGTACTTTTTTAGCTTCAGTTTTAAATTGGCTACAACTAGGTGGTGATCTGAAGCTACGTCAGCTCCTCTCATGGTTCTCACATCTTCCATTGTCCTTCGGAATTTTTTGTTGATGCAAATATGGTCTATCTGGTTCTCTGTAGTGTGGTCCGGTGAGATCCATGTAGCCTTGTGTATACGTTTGTGTGGAAATATTGTGCCTCCTATGACTAATTTGTTGAATGCACACAAATTTGCAAATCTTTCTCCATTTTCGTTCCTCTCTCCCAGTCCATGTCGTCCCATAATATCTTCATATCCAGTGTTTTCTATTCCGACCTTGGCATTTAGATCTCCCATCAGAATGGTGAGGTCCTTTCTTGAGCATTTCTCTATGATTGACTGAAGCCGCTCGTAGAATTGATCTTTAATGTCGTCGTTGCTATCATTGGTGGGTGCATAACATTGGATAATATTCATTAAGATCCCCTCCTTCTTTGTTTTGAATGATGCTTTGATGATTCTGGATCCGTGGGATTCCCATCCTACAAGTGCAGTTCGTGCTACTTTGGACAGCATTAGAGCAACTCCCTGAGTGTGTGGAGCATTTTCCTCTTCGTGACCGGAGTATAGCAGCATCTCTCCCGTAACTAGCCTTTTCTGTCCAGCTTGGGTCCAGTGGGTTTCGCTGATTCCCAGTACTGCCAAGTTGTATCTCCTCATTTCCGTTGCTATTTGGCTGGTCTTCCCGGTTTCCCACATTGTTCGAACGTTCCATGTACCTATAAAAATTTTTGCTCTGGTTGTTAGAAGGGGCATCGGCCTCGTGGCTTCCGAAGGAACTCGGATTTCACCATGAAGCGTCATAATTCTTCTAAATGAAGACCTTCTAACTCTCAGGGCAGAGTTAAAATGGTTTGAATTATTTTTTCTGGTAAGCGTTTTTTTAGCGAGTTAGTTTTCTACGGGATGGGGACGCTAACCCCATGGCCAACCCTCCTCCTTTACCCGGGCTTGGGAGCTACAGGCGGAGTTTTGTATACACACGAGGTATCAAAATAGAACTAAAGCCACTATATATACGTTGGGTATACAACATGCATATATATATAACATATATAAAAAACCAACAAACACACTTTCCATTTTATTGCTTAACATTTATTGTTTTCAATGGTTGAGATCATAAGTCAATTGAAGATAGACCACCATGGAGAACCTAGAAGCACTGGATGGTCGTTTCGTCCCATTGTGGGACTCCTCAACAGTGCGAATCACGATACGACATATCACTCTCTTAGCCTTTAGACCACTCAGCCAGCATCCAACGGTAATAATGTCTAACTTAAACTATTTTAAAATTTAAAAAATGTTGTCAATTAGCTCCCCACACTCACAGTTTTATAGTCAGATAATATTGCATGTAAATTCAAACAAATTAACGGTGTTTTTGCATAGAATTTCATGGATTATTTTCCTTTTTCAGACCAGACTACTCATTGTTTAATGATTGTTTCTACGTAACAGAATACAGAGATTTAATAGATGAAATGAAACTCTAAGATGGTGGAGAAGATTCGTAGCTCAGATGGATGATTTTGGTCCAAATTATCCAACTCAGAGAATAAAACTCCATCGAAATGAAACTCTCTTTAGGGGCATAGACTTTCAATGTCAAAATATGTATCAATAACAAGAAATTTTTTTAGATTTTTATCAAACATGAAACTATGAAACAGTAATTGTGATAATCGATTTCAACACATCATTACAGTTTCTAATCTATATGTATACTGCTTGATGTTTGTTTTTTTGGTTTTATTTGACGATTTATGAACATCGTCAGAAGTAGTAAGCAAATCATTTACTTCATTATCTTACTTACTTACTTACTTACTTACTTTCGCCTGTTACTTCCAATAGAGCATAGGTCGCCAATCAGCATTCTCCAACCTACTCTGTTCTAGGCCACTGCGTCTGGTGCCCCCCCCTGGGGCTACTGCCAGTCCCAGTCCCGGATAAAGGAGGAGGGTTAGGCATGGTGTTAGTGACCATATCCTATAGAAAACCAACTAGCTAGAAAAACGCTACTTTATTACCAGATGACATTTAAAATCTTCAAAACAATTATTGACTGTGATTGTTGATGTTATCTCCAGTTGAGAAGGGAATGAATTATGAAATGATATTTTTCATTATCGTACTAGTGTGGTGTGTGCTACTGATGTCAACAGATATAAGTAGTATGTATCATCAATCGAAAGTGAAATGTCTGGTGGCAGAATGTTAATGAAAATCAAAGTGAAGAGAAAGAGAACAAAGAATGATTGCTATGGAAATGAAGGGATAGTGAAGTCTGAGACAATTGAATGACATTTTGTAAATGAAATATTTACTGTATGGTTCTTAGATTTTACTATGAGATTCTGTAATGTTGTGTTTGGATACATTTGGTTGTCCCCATTTGTATTCTCGTTCACTAGACTAGTTGATTTATTATCAATCCGATTTATTCTACACCAAAGCGTTAATCAATCTTGTTGTAAAAAAATATGTTTATTATTTATTTAGGTGAATAGTAACTAGCCAAAATGTAGAAAATAACCATGAACCTTTAGTGTCCCGGTATATGTCACTCCAGTTAGATCGTCACAAGACAAGCCCTCACATGGAATCCTCAAGGCCAAAGGAAAAGAGGAAGACCAAAAAAACACATTACGCCGGGAAATGGAGATAGACATGAGAAAAATGAACAAGAATTGGATGGAACTAGAAACGAAGGCCCAGGACATAGTGGGTTGGAGAATGCTGGTCGGCGGCCTATGCTTCTTGACGAGGGGTAACAGGCGTAAGTAAGTAAGTAGCCAAAATGCAGAAAATAACCATGAACCTTTAGTGTCTCGGTTAGATCGCATGAATGTTTTGCTATTGAAATAGAAATGTCGTCTATCTTTGTATATAATTATCGACTTCATTCGCGTTAGTGAATAACGGAATTAAATATGCCAAATAGGAGAATGGATTTTGAATATATATATATCATGCACTCAGTGATTTGAGTAGACAATCAGGGAGACGAAACGAAGAGAGAAGATCGAAGCACATCGGAGAAGGTATATGAGCCAACTCAAGTTAACCAAGCGTGAGTCGATATTTATAGACGAATAAAAATAAGTTACAGACATATGATGAGTGGGATAAGATATACACACATATACACTCTCATATAAGAGCAGTCAAGGTTGATAAGCGAATAATGAACAAGGTTAAAATAGCCTATTCAGAAGTTAGAATAAGTTATATGAGTTGAACATAGTAACTGACATTACAAACCCATTTCAGTTTTTGAAGTTGCTTAAAATGAAAAAAGAGTGGTACTTGTTAACTAGTTGTTTTTTTCTCCATTATATGTGAAGCTAAAATGTTGTAATAGACTCGTTATTGTCCAGTTATCAGCTCAATCTCATGTTTTTTATTGATTAGTTCTAAATGATCATTTTATCTTTGTACGAGACTGTTAAGCAGTAGTTTCAGGGTTTTAACAATAATCTAACTTCGATCACCTGATGAATTCAACTATGAAAATACTACAGTCTTCATAAATACCCTGGATTAATTAACGATGTATATTCGGAATTCCTATAGTTTTTTTTCCCCTTCAAACTTACTTTCCTATTAATGGTTAACAAGTTCTATTTAAAACAAGTAATGTAGAAATTCACAGTCTCTTGAAATACTCCTATGTACTTCGATGTTTAAAGCATCATCGATGAACAAGGAACTTCAGATGCAGATGTAAAGGCAAGGATTGGCAAAGCAAGAACCGCATCCCTACAATTGAAGAACATATGAAACTTAAAACAATTTTCGACCAATATCAAAGTGAGGATCTTCAATACCAACGTCAAGGCAATCAATTCTACTGTACGGAGCGGAAACTTGCAGAACTACAACAACCACTATCAAAAAGGTACAAGTATTTATAAATAGCTGTCTACGAAAGATAAGCAATATACGTTGGCCAGATGCCGTCAGCAACAACCTACTGTGGGAGAGAACAAACTAGTTTCCAGATGAATAGGAAATTAGGAAAAGACGATGGAAGTAGTGGATAGGACATACAGTACGGAAATCATCAAACTGTATCACGAAGCAAGCCCTAACTTGGAATCCTGAAGGGAAGCAGAAAATTGGAAGGCCAAAGAACACATCACGTCGGGAAATAAAAGCAGATATGGAAAAGATGGATAACAACTGGAAGGAGCTGGAAAGGATTGCCCAGGACAGGGTTGGATGGAGAATGCTGGTGAGCGGCCTATGCTCCTTCACGAGGAGTAACAGGCGTAAGTAAGTAAGTACTTCGATGTTTAGGATTTAGTTGTGTATATGTTGTAATTAGAAATAATATAAATTTTAGGTTTGAAGGTTCTGAGTGTGGCCTCCTACAAAAACCACCTGGTTCGGTTTGGACACCCGAGCGGTATCACAGCCCTCATAAAAATCAAATGAGATTTGTGTGGCGCATATGTATCTGGTGCCTCCTTGTACCAGTATTTATGTGCTCAAACAGATAATAATAAATTAAATATAATGTAATCCACTTCATTGGGTGATATAGCTCAGAATCGATCACAATGGTGTAAGTGTCTACACTCTCTGTCTTCCCCTAAACTAAGAGACTAGAATTATTTCATATTTTTCTTTCTACGAACTAATTCTTTCTTCCTGTACTATATCCTTATGTACAATCTTACTTTTATATATTATCACCACTGAATCAACTACTTGTATGAATGCAATGTTCATCTTGTTATGCTAATGATGTATGGTAACTTGGACTGGTGTATATATGTACCTAGTCGTATGTTGTAGCTGATTGACTGAATGATTGATTGATTTTAGCTACTTAGCTGAACTAACTACTAACCTAGAAACTATTTTTATATGAACATAATTCAATTATATTATTGTTCTACAACTTTCCATTCTGAGAATTGATAAAGCATATTAGCAGTAGAGTGATGAGCATTCTAAAAAAGTTCGACTATAGATCAAAGCATAGATTATAAATTGGTATAATCTATGTACTATGAAATATTCTAAACTGTTTTTCTCTTAAATTTATTACAGGCAATGTGATATGTAATGATCTACTATCTGGAAAGATTCAAACAACCAATACCAGGTGAATTTAAACTTCAACCTATCTCACAACCAAGTGGCTATCAGGACTCAGTAGCTAAGTGGATAATGCGATGGTGTTTGAAGCGAACGATACTGAGTTTGACTTCCACAGTGAACATCAACTCTGAGATGCAGATGCATCCAACAGACGAGTCCTAAATTGGACGAAACTCGCGTCAAACTGGATTCCACTGCTAACCAGTATTCATCTTTTCAGATTAAAACTTTGTTTATTACTCAATAATTAAGTTGACTTGGTTATAGAAAAACATAAGACTATTATCTAAAATGGAATTGAAGAATGATGAAACTAAGCTTGATTTATTTTATATTTAATGACTAATTACTTATTAAGCAAAGATGGATAGTGGCTAGAAGTGGAATCCAGTTTGACGCTCGTTTCATTCCATTTAGGACTCGTCAGCTGGATGTACCTGTATCGTAGAGTTAATGTTCACTCCAGGAATCTAAACCAGCTGGGAATCCTTTAGCTAAGATTCTAATTAATGCATCCTAATCTTCTATTGTACGTGATAAGTGTATGAAAAGATTTTGTCCAATTTTTCAAACTTTATGTTAACCTTTTGTTGATCATCTTGATATTCATCCATATTAAGATCTGACCAACTTATTTCCTTAATGAAGTTAAATAATTGTTGTTATTAATTGGCTCAAAAACAGTTGTCCATACTAAGGTAAAATAAGTATTTCTATAGATTACTAACTATATTATTGTTGTTCACAAAAAGGGTTTTACGAAGATTGTAGTAATTTAATAGATGAATTTATGAGTCGATTAAAGTCAGACCATCTTGGAAAATCTGGAAGCATTGAACAG